AGTATTCAAAAAAAATGTTTTTCTCAGCTCATCCTTTCTTTATACACTTCAATGAGCTGTACATACACCACAAATCCTGGGGCCTCCCTCTATCTGACGCTTCTTCTTTTCGTTTTCATTTATTTAATTTAGTTTTTATACACCTCAACACCCCTTCCTCTTTCTTATCTCTCTCTCTATCCACAAACCCGGGGGGCCCCCCTGGGGGCCCCCCCGTACCAGCAATACAAGAAGGGGGGGCCCCCGGGGGGGCCCCCCCAGGCTATACAGGAGAGGGGGGGCCCCCCTGGGTACCTTTGGAGGGGCCCCTGTGTTGCTGTGTATTTATTACGGCGGTGTATATGTTTAATATTAAATAGACAGAAAGAAGAGACAGCCAGAGTTTATGTTTATTCTTTTATTTTGAAATCTATTTATCTTCTTCTTTTTTATTTTCCTCTTCTCTCCCTGCATCTACTTTATACTCCCTATACACCCCAGGGCCCCCCCGAGGATATAAGAGAGGGGGGCCCCCAAGGGGGCCCCCAGGGTACAGAGAATTCATTAAAAAGCAGTCTGGTTGGGGTGTTGATAGATGAAGCAGAAGATATACTACACAGGAATAGTGATTTGCTGCAGCAGCAGCAGCAGCAGCAACAGCAGCAGCAGCAACAGCAGCAGCAGCAGCAGCAGCAGCAGCAGCAGCAAGAGCAGCAGCAGCAGCAGACAGGAGGAGTGAACAGCAATTGTTTAGAGTCGGTTTTTATTTTTTTGTTTTTTTTTTTGTTGAAATATTTGTTTGCTTTTTTGTTTTTTGTTTTTGTTCGTTTTCTCCTTTTTTATTTATTTATTTTTTTGTTTATTTTATTTATTTTTTGTTTATTTGTTTATTTTATTTATTTTTTTGTTTATTATCTCCCTTTTTGTTTATTTATTTTCTTTGTTCTGTTTATTTGTTTGTTTTTGTTCGCTCGTTTGTTTTGTTTTTTGTTTTTGTTTTTTTTTTGTTTCTTTTTGTTTGTTTGTTTGTTTATTTCTTTTTTGTTTATTTGTTTTTATTTTTTTATTTTTTTCTTTGTTTATTATTTTATTTTGTTTTTGTATACTGTCTCCTTTTCTGTCTGTCTCTCTCTCTTTCCCCTATTTATTTATTTTATTTTATTTCTTTTCTCCCTTAATCTCTCTATAAATTATTTTATTTTATTTTGTTTTATTTTATTCTATTTTATTTTATTTATTTTTTTCTTTGTTGCAGCTACACCCCAACACAAGCTGTACATACACCTGAACAAACCTTCCTACCGCCACGGCCGATTAAGAGGAGGCCCCAGGGGGGCCCCCCAGCAGGGGGCCCCCCATCAGGGGGCCCCCCAGCAGGGGGCCCCCCATCAGGGGGCCCCCCAGCAGGGGGCCCCCCAGCAGGGGCCCCCGCAGCAGGGGGCCCCCCAGCGGGGGCCCCCTCGGCAGGGGGCCCCCAGGCGTTGAGAGGGGCCCCGGGGGCCCCAGGGGCCCCCCAGGAGGAAAGGAGTATAGAAGAAGGAACAGCAGCAGCAGCAGCAGC